AAAAGATTCGCGAATATTATTCCACATTTTACAATTTCTTTCCAAATGCTATTGTATTAAGCACAAATGCAATGTTATTTTTTATTACTTTCTTAGTATCTCATCAAATGTACCTTTGTATGGTTGGTTAAAGATATATTTATTAAGCGAAAACTTGTAACATTTATTGTTTCAAGTAAAAATGGCAAGTTAGAAATGTAACTAAGTGAATGACAACATTGCTATATGCATTTGTTGTTTGAACGTTTAATAGTACGGTATTCTTACCGATGATGCGATAAGTGTCCACATAGAGGATATTTAAATGACATAAAAAACAACATTTTATTCTAAATTGTTATAACATGTCATGATAAAAAAAATTTTCACAAATTATTAAGAAAATTCTTTGAGATTTTCTTAATTTAATATCTTTTTTTTTTTTATTTTTCTCTCTATATCTATTTATTAACATTGGGTTGTATCTGTTAGATACAATCTTTCTAGATTTTTTGTTGTTGTTGTTAATTAGATGTCCTAACATTATCTATTGGACACCATTATTGTTATCAACGAAGTAAAATTAATTCACAGCACTTTAAATTTATTCCTAATATTACTTTACACGCTAACATTTATTTACACTCATTAAATTGTTATTCTTTCATCATCAATTTATTCCATTCAATGTTAAATAATTATAAATAAACATAATATATTAACTATTTTCATTCATGAAAAGCATCGTTACCTGTATGACAAGTGATCATAAGAACATAATAAACAATCGCTCATTAAATGCATTCTGTTGTTCTTCATTTCATGACCTAGCCACCATCCATACATCCATCCATTTATCCATTCAATGTCGCTGTATAGTCACCATGTACACTATTTCACATTCACTGAATTCTTTTTTATTTACATGAGATTCTATTATACAAATATAATAGAAATAGTGCGGCAATATATGCACTTGTTTAATGAAAAAGAATTCTGGAAAACTCTTTTGATTATCTCTAAATCTCAGAAGTTATTGTAATTTTGTCAAAATTAGGAAGGTTTCTAATATTATCTCTCTCTATCTCAATCTATATTATTATTATTTATTATATAATGCATATCAAAATGTTGACAAATTGAATCATTTGTAAAATTTTATCTATATCCTTCCTAAGTTTTGATAAAAGTGATCATTACCAAGGATTTGAATGATAGAACAAGATGCACTTGTAAATATGATATATGCTGTGCATAAATGAAGATATTTTTAAAATCACACTTTAGTATGTAAGTATTTTTTTATAAGATCAATTTCTGTAAACAAAAAAAAATGAAAAAAAAGAGTAACAATTTATACAAATATTTTCTCGTACAGTACAACAGGGTGAAAGACTGTGTTTGTTGGTAATAATTCCTTTGACCGATATATAATTGGATAATGAAATAGTGAGATGGAAGTATATAAGGAATCGCATTTGAATGCGCATAGCAATTAAATAATTAGACAAATATTGAATAATATTAATAATTATATCATTCCACACACACGTGTCACTATTACTCTTAATATTTTTAATCTATTTATGTACAATTTTGTAGGTGATACTTGTATAATTGAGTGTATGCAATTTTTGTTAAACTTTTTTTTATATATTTTTTTTCCTTTAAATTAATTAATTTATTTTTTAAGTATAAATAATACTATCAACTCCTTGTGCATTTCATTGCTGTGTAAGTTGATGATAGATATATATCTATCTTTGTCCTAACTAGTCAATAGATAAGTGAATATACTTTTTTACCTTAAGGATCTGACAAGATGCTGCAAAATAACTTGTTCAAATCAAAATGCAATAAGTTAAGGAAACGCAAGTGAAAATATTCATGTTGATAATTGATTGTCACGGAGTATTGTTGAACTTTCTATAGAAAAATGAAAATTATAAATTTGTAAAATAAAATATATATATATATATACATGCATATACATATACATACTTTATATAAATGTAATAGAGATATTAAAAAAAGTATTACATTGACAATATTATGCAGCTTATTACAGAATCATATTCAAACATTTCTGTTTTTTATAGTATTATTTTTCTACTCGCTTATATACATCATCAAATTTTAATTATCCTTATAAATATTATCAAGCTATTATTTTTTTTTTTAATCCCTTATAAAACAAAATCCTCATTGTTTGTTAGCATTTTTTATGTAATTTTTTTCTTCGTCAAGTTTTGGAATTATTTTAAAGGAGACCTCGTGGTAAGTTATTGTTAACATATCCTTAGCAATATTCATAAATTATTATGAGTAATTATAGTTCATCGATATATTGCAAAAGGAACTTCAAAAGTAACATTTGAAATCATTGAAAGACTTTTTTGTAGAATGACTAGATATACAGGATGTCATGTAACCAGCAGTGTGAGCAGGCAAGGGACGTTCGGGATGATATAATGCTATGCAAGCAGTAAAACTCAATATTTACTCATTTCAAAGAAAACGAAGAGAGAAGTTTTACATGCATTCTTATATACCAATTCATTTCAGATGGACAATAAATTTTGTACGGTCCTGATGAACTCTTACAATTGTCTAGAATTTAAAAACAATCCGTATTCTGTCAACTTGGCTTTCTCCTTGTTAGTTGAAAATTTAGAATAAAATTTGTTCGTATAAGATTTAGTTTTTCATGTAAAATCATCTATGCTCGCTTGTACCACCAATTAGAGGACATCCTGTATAATCATATGAAAAATAAGGAAATAGAAATGATTTAGATAAAAGGAAATGATCTATCAACTATAAGGTAAAAATAAGTATTGAATGTATGAAACATGTATTTGATAAAACAAACGGTGACATTCTTGAAATGAATACTGCTCAAATATATGTATGTTTATACTTCTTACAAGTACAAATTATTGAAATTACAATTAAAATGTATATATTTATTCAAATAATAAGTGCACAGTCACAAACATACTTATTAATTCATTATTTTTGTTGTTGTTGTTGTTGTTACTTTAGCATCTACAAAATAATATACATTGCTATGACACAGAATTTATTACTTCCTATAAGCGATGGAACATATACTATCATTTCTCACTTATAAAATATGTATATCGTACTATCGGTGACAAAATTCTACCATTATTATACAGATTCACATTTGCTCTTCTAACTTTCTCACACGTTCTTTTACAAATGTTATAAGTAAGTAATCCTACCTAAAATCTAATTAGGACCATAGCAACATGAAGTTGTAACGAATATGCTTATTGCTATTATTTTATCAAACTATATAATGCTTTGAATAAAAGTAAGTTTTACATTTTTTACTGCCGAAGTGATACATCATAACTGCATATTTATATAATCATATGGTGGTGTATCGATTTAATTTAAATTTACAATATAAAAAAGATTACTATATCTCATCAATTACTCTCGTAACATAAAGGTTACATAAGGTTAACATTAAAGTTATTTGTATTTAATATAAATCATACATATGGTGATTAATTAATTTTCAGTCATTGAATAACTAAACATTCGAATACGATGAAGTATTTTCAATGAAATCGAACTGTCGAAAAACAAATAATATCAATAGATAGCAATATTCAATTACATATTTCTTATTACGTAATACGTGTGCTTTGCATTTTTCAAAATTTATTACATAATTCTATGTTGTATACAATTGTAATGTGCATTACTTGTTTGTGATTTTAAACATGGATAAGGATAATGTACGAAGAAACTTCTGAATCAAAATAAAAAAAAAACAAGTGTGTATACAAGTTTTGTTAATTTAATGCAATGATCATATTCGAGACCTTGATTTAAATATTTTGTATAAAAAATTATTTACATTGCTATATATCTACGTTTATCATTTATGCATGCCGTATGCATAATTTTAGCTTGATCTTTATGTAAATAACAAATGAGTTTTTCTAGTTCTTACATTCATAAGACAATTTTAATTGCAAAAAATATACATAATTAATTGTTATTTCTATTATTTCCATAGTAGAAAACTCACAAACAAGTAACATTAATTGCACAATATTATATTATATCAATAAAAAAAAGTTAAAATATATAAGAAAAGTATGACAATAAATCTATTTGATTAATTATTCATTGTATGTTGATAATAAATGAAAATAATATTACTAATGTCAAATTAGCGAAATTAGATACAACTCTAAAACATCCCTGATGTTAATTTAGTATTTTAATCTTCACGGAATACAATATTTTCCTTTTCGCATGGAAAATGATCTAAACTATAAAACTTAAAAACTGATTGTAACAATGACATATAAAAAATGTAGACTATTTAAAACCAAGTAAAATTAAATTTGCTTTAACAAAATAATAAGTGTACTTAAAGGGGAAATGTTTTAAAAAGAATATGATTTGTACTTTTCATTCCTCAGTATTGTTGTTAAATTTTCAGTAAAATGCATTTCCTATGAATTTCCTTCCTCCTCTTCCTTTCAAAGTTTCTATATACTACATGTATTGGAAGTTGCAATCGTTATGCTAATTTTCGGCAAAAAATGTAAAGATATTTTTACTATTATTAAATAGCAACACTTTTCTTTCTTATTCTATATGAGACAAAGTTTAAATTGAAAAATTATATTATAAGTATATAAAAGTAAACTTTTGATTTCAGACAACAAAACCTATTCTTAATAGGTTAAAATACATTATATAAAATATTATGTAAAACGCTGTACGAAGACAAATTTTGTAAATTTTGATTGCGCGTATATAAAATAATTAAAAAAAAACATAACAGAAGTAAAAAAATAGGCCAATATTTCTATTCTTTCATTAAGTACAGAAATGGCATGGCTATCACTTTGTTTCTTTTTTTTCTTCCAAACATCTGATACAATAATAGCACATAATTCAATCATATCAATGATGAAATATTTTGTATCGATGATACGTATGGTATGTTTTGTTTCTCTACCATTTCGGTACTTAATTGTAGTTTAAAAGTGATAAAAGGTGAAAACGTACCATTATATTACAGATCTGTTAATGTATTATTCCATATAAAATTAGCAAAAGATATAGTTTGCAAATTTAACGTTACGCTCTCTTAAAGGTGCTTATTCAAAATTTAAGCAAAAATGCATTCTTTTATATGAATGTTAAATCTACTCTATAAATATAAAGAGTAGTGTTAGTTACTTGATAACGTCATTTCTTAGTAAATTTGATACAAAATAAGGCTCATGGGTACTTTTAACACCTTTTGCCACTATCAAACCACACAAAATTGGACCACCTCTTTCCATACTTCCAGTGAATTAGAAGAGGAAAAGGGTGGTCTGCCTTGCTTGCTACTTGGTCGCCTCAGGTGGACAGTCAGGCTGGTTATTAGGGTGAGCAGCGGTGAAAGCTGGATGCCCTTCTAAATGTCTATCTACCCTTAAAATAGTTGGAAATGGTCTTAAATCAACATGAAACCTTCTGGCATTGAAAATTTGTGGCACCAAACAACAATCTGCTAATGTTATTTCATCTCCTACACAATATTTTCCTGCACTGGAAGACAACAATTTTTCTACCGCTGTAAAAGAAAGAATTTATATTATTTTATTAATACATTTTGTTTTTTCATTTTTGCAAATATGATCATAGCAATAATAATAATAATAATAATAATATAATATCTCTTTAAATCACTGACCTGTAAAACCTCTCGTTATCCAATGTTGCGCCCACTCCTTTTTACGTTCTTCACCGACATATATCAAGACAACTAAATTCTGTAAAGGTTGAATACCACTAGCTATAACTTCGCAAATCTCTCTAACTCTAGCTCTTTTGACTGGATCAGCTGGCATCAGTGGACGATGTGGTCTAGTTTCTTCCAAATATTGTAATATATTTAGCTAAAATAACAACACAAATATAAGCATGTCAGTGCAAAGCCTCTTTTTGCTTGTACCACCAGTTACAGGACAACCTGTATAATTTACTTCATACTTACAGATTCTATTAATGTATGATTGTCGATATGAAGTGCAGGCACTTGTTCCATTGGATTTATTTCACGGAACTCATTACAATGTTGTTCTCCCCCACCTTTCACTAGGCTCACAGGTTTAATGTCATAAGGTATTTCCTTTAAATTTAATGCTATCAACAGACAAACAATATATTAGATAAAAATTAATTGATGAAACATTGTTAACGTATTACTATTATACTCTTTATTTATTTCATTAATATAATTAATAATAAAACAACAATATTTAAATACACACATATTATACAATCTGTATATATTACTGTAAGAATTTAAAAATAACAAAAAGAAAAAAGAGTACACTTATATAAAATTAAATATTTAATTTGTCTTACCAATTCTCACTCTCCAAGAACAGGAGCTCCTCCAATAGGAATAGAGTACCGGCTGTAAGGAAAAAAAAAATAAATAAAAAAAAAGAACAAGATAAGATTTTTTTTTATTTTTTAATTATATTTAACTACACTTTGAAAGATATCAGTAACCAATACATGCACACAAATGATAGCTCGAGATGGATCAAGAGTAAAAGAATAAAAGAAAAAGCAAATTTATATTAAAATAAGTGACTTGAACAAATTAATCATATAAGATAATCATATTTGATGGTTGAAAAATAAATTATTAATAAATACAGACGACACAAATTAAAAGTAGTTAAATACGTATTAATACTAATCGAAGGACATAACACACAGGCCTTGAGAAATATGAGAAAAGGAGAAGGGAGTTTAGTATGAAAGCGATCACGAAAGATATCGAAATTTTGAATAATTTACTCACCTTACCCATTACGGACATCTCGTCGTATCGGGACGATCAGGTATTGTCTTTATTTTCAAATGCTATTTAAGCAAGAGGATTAAAAGACGCACCTTAGCTCTCGATTCTATCAGAAACAACTCGGAATCCGGTCAACGCGCGAAATCGCTCCTCCTTCCCCCCTTTTATTCGATTGCCAGGCAACCCGTTCCACCACCTTCGATATAAACCGGGTGCTTGTGTAGCCCACTCTTGGGCTACCAAGTGCGAGCCAATCAATGATCACCTTTCCGATATGATATCACATAATAGGTCGAAAAAGCATTCGCGGTGCTACCAATCCCCCTCGTGCATTCTCTAAACTAGATTTATATGCGATTCTTTTTATATTATCTTCATCCTATTATGTACTTATAGATATACTATGAAATTCTAATAAATTTCATCGAATTTCAATTTATTTTATATATCTATATTTTAAATAAATGATAAATGTAATATCAAATTTATAAAATGTAATGTTTCCTTTCTTTTTTTTTTTATCTTACACAAAATTATGCTTCCGATAACGATCCAATTGCGTGTTTCTGTTTTAATGGAAAAAGTTTAAATGCGATCGAATTTATGTTTGTTTTGTTTCAAATAAATTAATTTTTAAATTTGAGTTTCTTATAAATCGAAATTATTGGTTTCACTTACTAATTACTAATATTCACGTATAAGTAATTATATTCATTTATTAGATTTATATTTTTAGTTTTAAAATTTATACAAATATTATTATTACTATTATTATTATCATTATTATTATTATTATTATATATCAAATACTCACATCTTACCCATGACGGACATCTCGTCGTATCAGGTATCGTCAGGTATATATATATATGTATTACTTAATACCATATTGATTATTCTATTAAAATAAAATTTAATTTGATTCATTTTCTTTCTGGCGGTAACTTTAAATAATTTACAAATAACTTGCGTCAAAACATTTTATTGATTTTTTATCGTCACTGATGCCTATTTTCATATATTTTCATGTTAGCATTATACATGTAACAAATCAATAAAAATGTTTACTATCAAGATATTTCATAACTACGCTACCGCACTTTTATACTAATTCAGTATTAACGATTCTACTATACAAATAACTTACATACTTTTTTATCGATTAAAATATTAATATTTAACACTAGACT